CCCTGAAAGCTGGCGCGTTTGGTTCACTGGAGGGCTCCAGTTTGCTCAAACAAGAGCGTGTTCTTTCAGCTACTTTTCTAGGAGAGGTGGGTGAATAAAACAATGCTGGTGCACCGTCCTTTTTCTTTTCTTTGTGAGCTGCTAAACTACCCCCCTCTTCTCCTCCTTTTTCAAGGCAGGTGTAAGGAGGAATTTCCCTGAGCCTATGATTCGTTCCTAAACCTCAGTGGGAGTAGACGAGACTTGTGACAAATACTGCTGCAGCTGTGATAATGTGGTCTTAATCCTTGCTGCACTGTGACATGGAAGCCTGGATTTAGGCATGAAAGAACATGCCTTAACAGTACAGCAATATGATCCCTTATCATATCAAACTGCTTTTTGCATGTGCACCAAAATCACGATTTTTTTTTTTTCCAGTATTCTGTCTGCTGTTTCCCTGTTGTTAAGCTCCTGACTGTGATGTCCTTCTGCACGTGTAATGCCTGCTGGGCTGCTGCATGGGGGATAGTTGCTTTTCTGTGGGGATGAAGGAGCCTTGCCCATTAGCTGAAACTGCTGTAGAAATGGCGTAGGGCCTGTGGTAGAGGACTGACATTGGCAAGTGGGGTCACATCTGTGCCTGGTCTATCCACAGCACGGACAGGGTTGTTCTGATGCCTTCATCCCTGGGTGGCATGGGTGCCACCTCCTGCCCTCTGGTCTGCCTTGAAGCTGCTCAAAAGCTCATACCCACGTGCAGTCATTGTTCCAAATGTATTGCCAAAACATAATGTATGATATCATCCCTATCAAAGATCCGAGTTCCTGCAGTTGTATTAGACATCTCAGTATGGAGATTCAGGTATAGGGTCAGGCCCGTGGAGCTTCAGAGGAGCTGCTGAGGTACCCGGGAACGTGGCAGTGGCAGTGTCAAGGTAAGGACCTGTGTAATAGGAGTTAGTGGGCCTGGTGCTTGCATGTCCACCTGCAGTGCTTTGAGAAGCCCCACTGGGAGCTGCTGGAGGGGCAGCCTGCTCCCAAAACCCTGCGTTGGCTCCCAGCTGTGAGTTAGAACCACTGTCAAGCTGTTGTGGTTTAACCTCAGTTGGGGACTGAGTACCACACAGCTGCTTGCTCACTCCTTCCCCCCACCCCCTGGTGGGATGGGGGAGAGAATTGGAAGAGTAGAAGTGAGAAAAACTCGTGAGTTGAGATAATAATAATAATAATAATAATAATAATAATAATAATAATAATAATAGAAAACCCAAGGAAACCCTCTTCAGCCTAAAAGCACAAAGATCAGTGTCTGGAGAAGGAGACAACCGCAGTGCAAAGTCACCACTTCCAGCTGGTATTTGCAGGAGACCCAAGCGGGGTCAGCTCTCAGCATCCTCCACGACAGGCCCCATGTGATGACGGGCTTTTAGCTTTTATTGGCTAATTTAGTTAACATGCATTTTTATGTCGAGGCATCATTGTTCCAGCTATGCCTTAATTCTAACCATACATGTTTCCACAGGGCAAACAGCCTTGAGGAGTTTCAGAGCTCTGATCAAAAAGGGCTGGTGGTTTCGGTCTGCTTTTTCTTCCACTAGGAAGGAAATTAACTCTATCCCTGCCAAAACCAGGACACAAGCCCAGAGCATGTGACCCACTGGTAATGCTGGTGGAGCTCTTTGCCATCTTTGGATTGTAGATGTCAGTGGTGGTTGTTCAATGTTTATTTCCCATTTATGTATTTGTTTTCAGCTACAGGACCTACAGCTGCTGTTTGGCTTGCTGTGGTTGTTAGCTGGCCGGCAGTCTTTGCTGTGGGATTCAGGTTTTATCAGTGTGCACAGAAACCAGTTTCGTTTTACTGCCGAATAATAAGCATGGTGGAAATGAAGGAAGAAAATGATAAAATTAAACTGTGCTTTTTCAGACCTTTAGATAGATGTCTACTAGAAATAACTGTCTATTTATTACAAGTGAACATAAGTAATTAGTGTATCCTTAACATCAGTTATTTATTGCTAGCAGAAAGGTAAAGAGATTTCTTTATTTTCCAGTGTTGCTCACCACCATGGTAAACATTTCTTTGATTTGAAGGTTTCTTGTACAGTGTAAAGAGTGTAAACATGGCTTTTTCCTTCCTTCTCTATGGTTTCTCTCTCCAAATGTAATTTATCACCGGTTGAGTTGAACTGAGCCCAATACCATTTTTCTGTAATGATCCTGGAAGTAGCATACATGAGCCTGGTGGGAGAGGGGAGCAGAAGAATGTTGAAGGACTTCAATGTTTCTGGCGCTCTTGTGTGGTATCATGTCGGTGACTCCTTTACTGCTTGTTTGCTGTTGTTTGCAGTACTTGGACATTGGGTAACTTATCCGATAACATTGGGTAACTAACTTTTTTCTTCTTACTGCTCACAGTAGATTTTGCTTTAGATTAGAATAATAGTGCAGATAGTAATGCAATTTAACTATTTAAGGCACAAGCATAATGTTAGGATGAAAACTCTGATCCAAGCTCATCTGTAGGTTTTTCTCCTGTACAAGTTTGTGAAGAGTATATATCACTTGCTCAGAAAAACTCGATTTTCTGAACTATCAGAAACTGATAGCAGTGTTGTTCATTACAAATACCGAAAAATCATCAGGTAAGCCTGATGTATATGTTAGAGACTTCCTTAAAAATCATGAGTCTTAAAATAAACAAACAAACAAAAGTGCCTTCCCCCCCTGCCCCCAGCACTTCGGTTCATGTTCTAATTTCTTTTTCCATAAAGTTGTAATCATGAGAAGAACTGTTTGCGTGAAAGTTGAACTTCTCATTTGGTTGTCTGATTCTCAGAGGAATGGTATTTAGGAAAGCAGCGAACATCACGAGACTCACGATAAAGTCACGAGAGTTTTTCATACGTTACAGTTATGTATAAGTTTTGAATCAAATTTTTTAGAAAAATAAATGTATAGGCAGATGGTGATATTTACTTAAGGGAAGCTGAATTCATTATCTGTCTAGAACTGGGTATTTCAAGCAGCTGTTTGAAAATGAGAACTCACTTTCCATGAGGGAGAACGTATGTTTGGGGAAAATGGAGCCTCTTTTCAAATGTAAGGCTATCCCTCATTTAGTCTATGTCAGAGGGGTTTCTGGTGTGTGTGTGTGAATTCATTTACGGAAGAACTTTATCAGTAATGGCCAAGAACTAATTTGGTGAAATAGTTTTACAAATTCTTAAAATAAAAAAAAAAGCAACAAAAACCAGTCCTTAAAAGTTTCAAAACTAGATAAAAGTTGTAGCTGCTCTTTTTTCTTAAGATATTCGACCAGAAAAAAGATTAAACCAAATATTTAGTAATCTTATGCTGCCCTGCCAAATTTAATTTCTGACTACCTAACTTGCCTTTATTTTGATTTATTGAGATACAATTACTTCAGGAAACAGAGCTATAGAGAACATCCAGGTGTAAGCCAGAAGAAAGGAGGCCAAATAGGAACATACCTGTTGTCTTTTACAGATCTGTTTTTTGGGGACTCTGTATTCTAGAATGTGTCTATTCTATTTGCATATATATTTTTGGAGCTTAAGAGTACGAAAAATAATCTTAGCTTGTTTGTTCTTTTTTTACACTTGTTTCTCTTATGTTCCTGTGGAAAGCTAGCCAAATACTGTAATCCTAGCGTAAAGATGGAAGGCTGTCCCTTGAAGACTGTGGTCTATTCGTTGCTTATGTCCTTTCTTTCCCCATTTCTTTAAGAAGATTTTCACGGGAAATTCTTTCACCCAGAAAACCTGTGGCCCTGGATATCTTGGTTCACAGAGAAATACAAACCAGTTTGTTATCTGGAGCAGATGCCTTTCTCCAGTCACTTAACTTCTAATGCCTCTGTTTTCCCATTCTGTAATAAGCAAATTGTAATGCTTAATTATTTTACTGGAACCTATGCTAATATCTGTGAAGCCCAACTATAGATTTTTAAGGGATTTTGCATCTCAGAATGGGCTTAGGCATTTGGAGTGACTGAAGGGATCGTGATTCTCAAAACTCTTTGATTTTGGAATTATCTCTTTGAACGCTACAGAGTAACGCAGCTGTGTACACGTGAAGCACAAAGCCTGTTTGTAAACAGGGAAGATGTGTAAAGATGGCCCTTTGATAGGAAACGAGTTGGTCAGTTCAGACATCTTTCAGAATCTCATAACTTCATTCACCTTCCTGATATTTGGCAAGCCTCCCTGCCCAGTACAGTGGTGTAAGCTGTGAAAATAGCCATTCTGGGAACATATGGTAAAGGGGTTTTGTGCTCACCCCAAAATGCTACCATTGGTTCTGACTGTGTCGAGCCTTTATTGTGAATCTTGTGCAATACTCATATGTGAACTTACTATGCTCTTTATATATAATTATATGCCTTGTGGTCTGGCCGTGTGTGTTTTCACAGCGATTCAGTGGTTTGGAAGGTTAAACTCGTTTTGTTGGGCATTAAGTAAGAATTAGTGATGATTGCATAGTGTGTGCCACATGCGTCTGGTTGATGTGGAACGCCTTCCGTAGCTTCTGCTAATGAGGGCAGATGACACAACAATAAGTTAATGCTTGGGGTTTTATTATAAGCAAGTCCCTGACTGCTGAAAGGCATTGTTAAATTTCTGAGTTTCTCATAAGTAGTATTTAGTTATCGCCTTGTATTTTAACCAGATGAAAAACACTGTTTCAAAGAAGGCCTGATGGTTATTCAGCTGTAAAGAATAGCAGTATCTGGAAGAGAGTTAAGGCTATGTCTAGAGTCATTAATACTGATGCAGTAATGCAGAAGACTGATAACTGAATAAGATATCCTGGCTGAAATTTGATCACAAGGGTATTTTCCCTCCTCTGAAGTAAAAATAGTGATTTATAATGGGAACTTTGTCATATTAATCAAGCAGACATTTGGATTTCACTTATCCCTGAGACACTAGTAATTCCTGCAGCAAGATTGCAGTTCCTAACTCAATTTTTTAACCTTTTTTTTCTTTCTCTAGATCATAAAAGAGTTTGCAATGGCAATGCTCTGGAAATTCATGAGAGTAGCTAAGTATTCTAAAACAGCTTTATCACCAAAAGTAAGGGTAAGAGGAATTCCTGCCAATTCAAGGCATTCTTCATCCAAGTCTGTACCTTCGGATTTTGCTGCCAGCACATCCTGCTCAAATACTGTGGAACTGCTTGGTAAAACTTATCCTCAGGACAACTACAGCAATGTCACAGAGAAGATTCTTTCCAAGGTGGGGAAGAACTTGCACAACAAAAAGCATCACCCTTTGTGGCTAATCAAGGAGCAGGTGAAGGACCACTTTTACAAACAATATATAGGACGCCGTGGGACACCGCTCTTTTCTGTCTATGACGGTCTTTCTCCAGTGGTTACAGTACAGCAGAATTTTGATAGTTTGCTTATCCCACAAAACCATGCCAGCAGAAGGAAAGAGGATAACTATTACTTGAATCGTGATCACATGCTAAGAGCACATACATCAGCTCATCAGTGGGACTTGATACACTCTGGCCTAGATGCCTTTCTGGCAGTGGGAGATGTCTACCGCCGTGACACAATTGATAACTCCCACTACCCAGTCTTCCATCAAATGGAAGGAGTTCGTCTCTTCTCCTGTCATGAGGTAGGAATTCTCTAGTTGGGGTGAAAGAGTTTGGGTAAGTTGCATGATCTTGTATTTGCTGTAAGCAAAGTGCATGCACGTAAACATGTTACAGCAACACGTGTTATGCTGTGCATTGATAAAGATCAAGTGATTGATCATGTAGTAATACTTTTAATTTGGGAAAAATATAGGTGGAAAATGTTGAATTTGAAAACAACTATAAACTTCCCCAGAAAAATGTGGAAAAAATGGAAATACAGTATTCTTGAAAGCTAGCAAAATAAAACATTATCTGAAAGGAAACGGCTTGTTCAGCAAATGATCTGCACAATTCAATTCTAGTTCTATCACAGGTCTCTTCCAGTGAGGTCACTTTACCAAAAACTTTGTCATATTAGTACTTGAAGGACTCATGGATGTGAGTTGTTGCAGCTACATCCAGAGTGCGGTTTTTATTCTGTCATCTTTTTTCTTTTAATAGCTCCAATGTTCTGTAAATGAATGTCTCTTTTTAATGAATTGTTCCATTCTTCATCTCATCCTAAAGCTGCATTGCAGGATTCATCTGTTGCAGCTGACAGTTACGGGGGTGTGATACATACGCAGTAAACTCTGAGTCCAGAGGCATTAGCTGAAGAGCTCTAGGTAGATGTCCAAGACTCTTGAGTGTATATATTTTGTTGGCACAGCTTGCATATTCTGCAAATGCTTGGGTGTCATTAAGTATTCTGCTGTATCACTGATCAGTGGTAAATATAAGCCAGTTTGTTTTCCAACTAGTAATTGATTTGTATAATTTGTGTATGCTTGTAGCAATACTGCCAAATTCACATTTCTGTAACTAAAACTAGCTTATTCTAATAACACTGAGATGTAGACCGTTCTTAATGTGGTTGCCAATGGGTGACAGGAGCTTGGCAGGGAAGCCTGATGGGTTTGGATGCCTGAGGGAAAACTAGGGTTATCACAGAGCACTGCTTTTCTCACTGGTGGAAAGGGTTCGTGCTGCCTGCGCTGGTGTTTCCCACCCCATGCTGTCAGTGCTTCTTCCACTTTGAAAACATACCTGCCTCTGCAGATACCCTGTGAGCTATGTGGTGTCGAACACAGCTTTGGTAACTAGAAAATGAAATCTTGCAGATTTATTCCCTCTTGTCTGTTTGCTGTTCTTTTCCCATGGGCCTGTTTATGAATACAATCAGGGTATATGCAAGAGAAAAATACTACATTAAGAAAATGCCATTTCTTAATGGTTTATGCTCATGACAATTTTTTTTACTTGAGCAGGAGTTCAGGCATTCGAATGGAAAGATTTTATCTGCTACAAAATTGTAACATCGACACTCTTGCAGGATGGAATTTCTGCAAACTTGGGTGTGATTGGTCTAATTATTGAAATTATTGTTAATGAATATGCCCCTTCAGAAATTTTGGTCCTAATGACAGACTATTTCTTTCTTCTCTACAAAGTTAGCAATAGGAATAATAGTAATAACAGGATTTTCCTAGCTGGGAAAAAAGTTACAGAAATGTTCACTGACATCTTCTATCTAGAAATAGGAATCTAGAATACACGATGTGTATTTCTAGATTCATTGCATTGTAGATGACTTGTTTCTTTTTCTCCTCTTTCTTTTTCCCCAAGAAAAATGATTGACATGTTATTGGAGAATGTTAATAGCTGATGAATTTGAAGTTAGCTATGTGCTGGAAAATGTGTCTGTCTCTTGAAAGGTGAAAGTCCGGTTGACTTTCTATACTGATGGAGAAAGAATAGTGGTATGGTATACAATGTGTAAAGTCTTGTTTATTGGGCAACATGCGTAAATTCTAAACCTGAGCATGATCTAAAGCATCCATTTTTGCTTCAGTTGCAGATTAAATACTGATAGAGTCTTGCAATATGTAAAACTTCTTCCAGTCATCATCACAAGAGCTTTGTGGAAAAAATTGAATCAGAAAAAGTTATCAGTATAATTCTGAAATTTCACTGGGGACTGTTTCTGTGTTTTATATTCTGGTTGCCTGTTCAAAATAACCCAAATTTAAATAATTCCAGAAGGAACTGTCTGAGTGGAACAAAGACTATATGGAGGTAACACTACCTGAGAGAAATATTTTTAAAATATTTTTAAAATATTTTCAGTGCATGTTTATTTATACCCATGTTTAAGTTGTAACCCACTGAGCAGAAATGTGTGAATGTCCGGGCCTGTTACCTTCATCTCAGACTTTTCATTCATAACCAGACTGCAATCTCTGGCGAGAGGAAATTTGTACAGTACTGAGGATAAGAATCTTTGGAACTAAGGGGAAAAACTGTTAGCTCTGAGCTACAAGCCCTGGGTACATTTTATCTTATGGCCAATAAAATAATTTTATATGCTGTAGTCAGTTTACTGTTCTACTTTGTTCTTTTGATTTATACATTTATCATTTGTCGTCTTCTCAGTGAAAATGACCACAGAACTGGGGGGGTGAAAACAAAACCCAAAACCTAGAGTGATTTTATAGGAACTTGAATTTAGAGGAATTTGACGTCTCATTTCAGTTTGGGAGGGGGAAAAAAGGTCAGTTCATCCTCAGCTGAAATTTTAGGCAGGATAAGAAAGATAGAAAGATGTAGAAAAGTGTCTCTCCTTTACAAATACCAAATTCTGTAGTCAAGGCTAGATTAAAACTTCTGCCCTGTGACTGAAACCTTTAGTATAATTCTTCTTCATATCAAGGTTAAAATCAATACACTGGGAGTAAGAGCTAGAAAAATAAGTCATAGTTTGGCAATTTTACATTGTTTTACTCTGAGATACTCGTGAGCTATTTGCTTCTTTGGCTATACTATTTTTCATGATGGTTGGTTGATTACTTTTGTAAGAGAAAAGTAATCTATGATTCGAAGATGGGCAGGTAACTAATGCTTTTCTGCAGCTTTGTATGAGTGCAGATATTAAAGTTGTAAAGAAGTCCCCATCTTCCAAACTAACTCATTGCTAAAAGTTAGAATAATTCATGCTGAAATTTCCCATAAACTTTTTGAAAATATCCTTGGACTGCTAGCAAAGAACATCTGAATATCTATTTAGACATGTTTTCAGTATATTTAAAAATATTTTAGGTAATTATTACCTGAATGTAATATATAGAAGAGTTAGAAACTAACTAATAGAAATAGTTAAAACCAGTGCCAAAATAGCTTCCCAAATCTGCTTCAAAGTTCTGGACATAAAATGAACTGTTCTTCTTAAATAATACCCCCAAATGGAATTCCTTTTGTATTATCTCCCTTCAGTATGCCTATTTTCCTTCCATATATATATTTTTTTTTCCCCTTCTATGGTATATGGCTTTTTTCTTTTTTTAATCCTTTGGGTTGGCAATATTGATACTGCTGTAGTCAGGTTTGAACTGGCAAACTTTCCTGGGTGGATTATAAAAGAAATTATTTCTGTGCTATGCCGTGGTCTTTGGTGCAGTTCTTTACTTACCACAATCTATGGAAAAGAGAAAAAAAAAATCTTAACTAAATTACACTTTGTGCATTTTAGCCTGCAGAGGGAGCCAATATAAACCCAATGGCAATCACAGAACATTTTTCAGTTGACAACAACTAATGTTTACACATTAGAAGGAGACTTCATAAGGTATTTTATAGTCTGTACTGAATTATACATAAAATTTAAGAGGAACAGATGGAAAACATAGGAATTGCTCCTCTAATTTAGTAACCTTGTTCCAATGGAGGCCAATACCAGATTGTTCAGATGGAGAAATGATGCTCTCATCAGGCTCGTTTGTGCTAACATTTGAAAACTAGAAAAAGGGAGACTGTGAAGAAATAGTAGGGATACATCTTTATTCTTCATTGAAATGTTTTTGGTGGAAATGGCAACTTTTTTGTTAGGACACAATGGAAAACTGTAAATATTCCAGTTAAAAATAAGGGCTGCTCCTCCAAAGAAGTACATATAATTGCAAAAAACCATTTGCGTATTGTAACTTCATAGTGTTTATATCCTGAAATGTAAAGACTCTTGTCCCAGGTAATAGAAGTGTAGATTTTCTCTTATGCATATAAATATATACTTCTTTCCTCATCTTTTCGTACTTGTGTACCTTGGCCATATTCTTTGTGTATTGTTTTTAAAAAAAACAAAAAACATTGCTTTTATCCTTTTCCTTATGGTTTGGGGTAGGTGTGAACACCTTACTGACCTACATCTTTGTTTACACTTTTTTACCTTTTTAAAAAAAAATAAAAAATCAGTGCATGCCATCCTAGGTTTTCACTTCCAAGACTAGTGTCATTAGGTTTGACTTCTCCAAAGTCCCATATGTTACTGCAGTTTGGACACTGTGCTTCTGTTCTGACCTTGTATCAAAGGAAAGCTCCTTCCTGTCTTCAGTCACTTTTTTTTTTCTCCTCACATGTAAAGGAATTTAAATAAATTTATAGTGTTCCATTTAACTTTGTATTGCTAGTCAGAAGGAGACTTGGCACGTTACCAAATTTGACTTTATTCTTATTGTGAGCTAAATTGTGAGTAAAATTCATGCCACATGGTAAGGTCACTTCAGTTTCTTTCTGACTTCCCCTTTGTAATGCAGCATCAGTCAGATATGCTGATAAATCCTGGTAATGTTTAATTTTTTTTAGTTCTGCATGATGACACAATATTCAATGTTTTGCACACCTTCACTTAAAGAAAAAACTTCTTGTCCTTATGCTAGTCAGACACATAAATGTTCGATTTATGGCTGCAGGAAATTTCTTTTCTGGTAGTAGTAATTGACTGATCATATTCAATACAATAAAATAGTACATTTTATTTTAGTCTGCACTGAAGGAATAAATGTACATGAAATCATGGCATCTTGGATGTGTCAGTGTTTTATGCAAGACTTAGATGATTTTTTTTTTACACACACACACACACACACACACCCCCCCTTGCTCAGATATGTGCTTGAGAAGAATTGACATCAAAAAGGAGCGACTGCAGACGATTCTTCATTTTATTCAAGCTTTGACTTTCCTGGTTTTATGTATATAAAAATGTTGAAGTGTTTCTAATTCAAGACATGTACTTAGCACAGTTTAGTCATTGTAATAGTGAAATTGGTGTATCAGTTTAAAGCTGCTCATGTTGACATAGCAATGTCGGTGAATGGAAAGAAGGGAGTAAATATTAATACAACTGTAAGGCATCTTTTTTTCTCAGTATAACCCCGTCCACAGCTGTGCTGGAGTTGACAGGAGTTGATGGAGCCTCTATGGAGAATACCAAAGTGCCTCTTGGTGCCTGACTGTAAGGGAGGCTGTTTCCTTGCTGCTGTCTGTCTTTTGGGGACTCCCCTGGGGCTGTGCTTTCACAGCCTGAGCGAACTGGTGTAGATTCACACCTGTGCCAAAAGTGGCCCAGCCCCGTCCCACGTGCCAGCACGTCTCTTGGTGCCACCAGTATGCTGATAATTGATTACCGAGCTGAATTTGACCATTTTCATGTCCCTCAGTTTCTTCCCTTCTCCTGGGTTACTTCGCATCCAGATCCACCTCCCAGCCTGGCTCAGTGCACCGCTGCATGGACGCTTGTCCTGGCACGGAGAAGGAGATGGTCATATGGCTGGTTTGTCAGGATGAAGAGGCCGGCAGGTTAGAGGGCTTGGGTATGACTAAATGTATTTACTCTAATGGTTCTTGCACCTATTTTATTGCCACATCTGATATAATCTACTAAAATAGAATTTTGCTTCAGACAGTAATTGCAATATCAACATTTCAGGAATAATACAGTGGTAAGGAAAAGTACTTCTATCTGTAGATAGATAGTAGAGAGATTGTAGATATGCTGTATTTTAAAGGCAGTGTCCAGACTATCTGTTCCTTGCGGTCTGAGGAACCAGTTTTGAGCTGGGGGGTGAGGGGAGGAGTGAAGGGGAAAAGGAAGAAGAGTTTCATGTCCTAAAATACTCCTGATGGGGGAAAATAAAAAATACATCTTCTAATGTGTAAATACAGTGTGTTTAGTCCAAAGAGGGAAAATCTCTGTGGCTTGAAGGGTGTTTCTGGCTTACTGAGGGTAGTCTCTTCAGTCAATAGAGAGAAAAAATAGCTACCTGTAGAGGGTAGTTCAGAGCAGGAACCTAATTTAGCCACTCCTAAACCTAATTTAGGTTCCTGTGTGAGGGAGCCTGTGTCTGTCCGTTGACCACCCAGTGAGTCTAAGACGATTAACCTCCCTAGGCTAATGCTAGCCTCTGTAAATACCCCCTAGCTTTCAAAACCACATGCTGGATGACTGATCTGCCCTGCTGGTAGTAAATTAGTTATAGGGTGGGTATCATCTGCTTCTTCCAGCCAGTGCAGAAATAATGCCAGTAGGAAGAAGGGGGTTTAATCTTTCAGCTGAATACTTGATTAAAGAATCTGTTATTTAAAAGTGTAATACCTGGTTTTGTCAAGCTGCTGCCTTTTGATTAGTAAAGGCATTTTTGTTAGACTGGTAGATAATAATTTTATTTGGTATTTCTTTTTCCTTTTTTATTTTGTATTTTTCTGCAGTGCACTAAGGAGATTAACCTGAGAGGTGTTTTCTCAATCTGCCAGCCGAGTCTCCTTCTGACTCGCAATACAAAGTTAAATGCTACTGATGGGATTCTTTTTTTTTTATTCCCTCAATCCGTTTTGCTGCTACCTTGCATGCTATCTAAACTCAGACTCCTCCTGCATGCATTGTGTCTATATGAAACATGTTAGAAGCTAGTCTTAATTAAATGTGCCCAGCATTTGTAGGCTACCAGAGGTTCACCTGAACTTTTTTTAGAGCACTTAGTGCACTGAAGGCATCAAACTGCAATTAAAACAACTTCTGTGGGCATCTGTGAGTTAAGGTTACATGCTGTTCGTGGCATCTCCTGAGTAAGAGCTAGTTATGCTGGGAGGCTTAATGTGAAGAAAATCTCAATGTGTGGTTTTTCCCTCTGTGTGTGCTTGGTTGACTATGGGAAGGTGGAGGAGGAGGGGTAGAAAGGGGCACTAGAAACACTTTCACAATTAGCTCTCCCTACCCTCCAGACTTGACAGAGTTGGTTTTTGTACAGCTGTAAGGATTTCCAACAAAAATTCTCCTTAGGGTGTAAAACTTCCTGCTTGTCTCCCCAAGACACAGAGCCTCCAATGACATGGCTTAGTGAGAATGTTTTATTGGTCTCTCTGAGAGGATGTAGCTTTGCTGGTATGTATCTGTACGGGATCGCCTGGCCAGAAGCGTGTGGGGATATGCAGGAAACAGAAATCTTCGACTTGCGGCAGATGTCGTGGACAGCAGCCTCTGCATGAAAAGCCAGTCTGTCACATCCCAAATACAGCCTACCCCTGTGCTTTGTGATTTATCTGGAAACCCCAGACCAAGACCATGAATCCTTAAATGCCCCATAGACAAAATTTCTGTACCCGGAAAGGTGCTGTGTGTGGGAAAACGCAGGAAAATGGTAGTCCTTAAACGAATAAAATGTACCCAAGATGAATCAAATATAAGCAGCTTAAGGTCTCATTAAACTGTCAGGTTTGGGGGGTTTTTTTGGGGTGTGTTTTGTTTTATGGGTTTTTTTTTTTTAGAGTTCATTTGATTACAGCTCTTAAAAAGCGTTGGGTTTTTTTAGTATTTATTTTACATCATTCAATTAATAAAAAAAGTTGAAGCTGTGATAAATGCCATTGTGTATTGTAGGTTTGGGTATATAATTTACATATACTGTACAGTGTACTTTGTCCTGCATAATAACTTTCAAAGTAACGGAATCAGAAAAAGAGATGTTTCCTTTATAAATCAATATTTTCCTGTAGCTAATCATGGTATTTGAAGATATGGTACAGAAATAAAACAAATGTTATTGTTTGAATATTTCTGTTCTTGGGATGGTTTATCTCTGTGTTTAGTGAACAGAATTTGTATAAAATGAGTCTTTTACATTTGTTTTTCATGGTGGAGACTTAGCAGGTAAGATTCCCACTTAAATCGATAAAACTTCATTCTCTGTTTTCGTTTAGAAAGTCACTGATGCAAAACACTGGTGTTTTTGTGGTTTTGTTCTAGTTGTTTTCCAACATTAAAGATGGTGAAGGCTTACAGTTGTTTGAGCAAGGTCATCGCACTGCACACAAGCAAGAGTGTCACACCATGGAGGCAGTGAGGCTGGTGGAGTTCAACCTGAAGCAAGTGCTCACAAAGCTCATAACTCACATCTTTGGCGATGGTAGGTTCTTGCACCTTTTTTCCTGGACTGCTCATGGCTGTGGGCATCCAGACTATTGAGAAACATTTTGCTGCATAATAGAAACAGGAGGCTTAGGAGTGATGGTGACAGCTGGTATATTGAAACAGCCATGTAGGTTTTTTTTTCTAATGAGACTTATAGTAATTTTAGGAGTCTTCATTCATATTCTTTACTATTACATTTTTGTCTTAAATTTGGTTGGAGTTCCATCCCAGTGTCTTTTAATGTCAGAGTAACTGGCTACTGATTGACCTTTCAACTCTAATCTGTATTTTATATGTTACTGTTCTTCAATACTATTATACCCACACCTTATAAATTTACTGAGCACAGCCCAAGAGGCCACACACTCTTCTCTTGGTTTTCCTAAATGCTGACACATACAACACTGTGTTGAATCATGAGGTTTTTGTGAAGAGGTTTTGGTATGCAGCGTGTCAGGGTAACATAGTGGGCATGAATACAGGTAGGGACATGCGCCAGACCCAACTACAGGCGTTCATCTGGCAGAAGCCATGTGTTAGAGTGGATGCAATGTACCTGTCGGTGTGGGTCCTGCAAGGAGAGACTGCTCCAGCTCCAGCACAAAGGAGCAGTGGGGACCCCCTCTGCTTTGTACTCTTGGGCATCCCGTGTCCCTGGAGGGACAGACCGTGGCTGCGGCATCGCGCCTGGGGCTGCATCAGAGCTGGGCGCTGCTGGGGAACATGCAGGGCGATGGTCACATCTCGCACCGGCAGTGTGGAGCTTGACAGGAGAAGGGGTGTGTATGTGCATGTGCTGCTTTGCTGCATACACACTCAAAGTGCCGTGAGTGTTTTTCTCGTGCAAATAAATTAAACCTTGCAGCTGAGGAGAGATGGTGTTTGCTAAGTTTGCAAACACCAAGCTGAAAAATAATTGTTGTTTGGTACTTAGAGTGGACTGAGGAAGGGTAATGAATGTCTGTGTATACGAATGAAATATCCTCTCCTCAGAAATACTTGCTTTTGGTTTCAGGAGTTGAATTTATAAATGGCTTGAGTTAAAATTGCCACATTAATGCTATTTCCTGGCAAGGAGGCTTCTCTTCTGAACTGATTCATTTTTCTGTTGAGGAAATACTGGATAGTATTAGAATGCACAGCATATGCTGGCTACTTCTAAAGCTCTTTTAAGATGCCCACTGAATTTAAAGCAGTAGTTCCATGAGTAGATTTATAATGGTAGCAAGTCCTATATACGACTGCTTGAATATTTGTCTGAAATTCTCAAGTTCAGTTTACAGCAAGCAAACCTTTTACCAGTTTTTGTTCTATCACACCTGGACAAAATTTTTTTAAGTTCCTGAGTTCAGTTTTTCTTGTGGTTGTATTTTACTTAACAGCAGCCTTTTGAAACATACAAAATTAGGATCAAAGTGAGTAATAGTAAGAATGATATTTTTTGATCAACCTCAGTTGCTGAGGATGTTGTTTAAAGTGAGCAATTTCTAGGAGTTATTAGTGATACCTGAGACTGCAGTGGCATCCTTCTCTAACTGTTGACAGATGCTGCACTTTAAGCTTCGGTATGTTGGCTATTACTAGTTCTTCTACAGCCTGCACAGTAGCTAGAAAAACATTTAAAAAAACATTCTTAAATGATTGTAACTGTACAGACTGAAAGTAGCTTCTGCCTTCTTACTGTAGCGATTTTCTATTTCTATGCCCCCAATATTTTTCCTGAAATACAAAGACAAGATATAGTGATTTAAATATAATTATCTCTTTTTTTCTTTTTTTTTTTTTTCCCATTCATGGAAATGAGAAGTTCTTTCCCCTTCACCTTCTTGATCTTCTTGTAAGGTGTCAGTACAAACTGGAAAGTAATATTCAAAGAAGCAAAGTTCATGCTAGGCACTAGACGTATGAGATGGGTGCAGTGCAAGTGACCTGGGGCAAACGTAATTAAATTTGTCTTTTGACAGCTGCCATCTTTTAATTTTCATTTTAGTCTCCACTTTACACAATATTTTTGATTACTTTTGTGTCTCAACTCCCTTAGATTTTAACTTAAAATTTAAATGTATTTTACTGTATTTATTGCTCTTGGAAAAATTCTATATTTTTTCTTCTTGTGAATATTCCATAAGGCCCCATGTTCTGTTAAAAGCAAAACTTTCATTCCTTTTATACTTCACATCAGTTGTATTCTTTACAGTCTGTGCTGTCAGCAGAATATTGCAGTGAAGTTGCACATTTTTTCTAGCAGGGTAGCATGATCATAGCTGCAGTAAGCTACTGAAATGTTGCATTGTCATACAGTCAACTGTTATTCATAGGCAGATAGTTTGGATTGCAGGTTAAGTCTACTGTGCATCTTAGTTTTGCGTAAACTAGCTTAGGCCTGAAGTCCTGGACTTGGATAGCTGTGCTTCTGCAGTGCTTCTCTGGGAATTTGCCAGCTCAGGTTGATGATAGATTGAGGGTCTCTGCAGGATTTCTGCAGAAAGGTCAGATCACTTACCTGTCTTTTTTGGGTTTTTTTTTTGGTTGTTGTTTTTGTGTTGTTCTAAACTAGGTTAGTTTTCATGATATTTAATGAGACAGTTTTGCTTTACCTGACTCATCCCACACTACCTGGATACTTTAGTATTGACTGTACATGCCAGTAAACAATGTAATAAAAGTTGCTTAAAGATCACTAGGTTATCATGAGCAAGGTCAAAGACTTCATAAACATCTGCACCTACATTTATTCCCAAGGTTTGTCTTTTTATTTCTTTCTGGCTTTGCCAACTGGCAAAGGAATGATGGATATTAGAGAGGGGAAAGATCTGGAGCATGCAATCAATTGTCTTAAATACTTGACAATGTAAGATAGTTCTTTTTATGACATTTTCTAGCGGTAAGGCATGTCTGATTTTAAATTCTACAAGTGATGGACTTTCAGTTTCTTTCATGAGATTTTGCTGTCAGGAAGCTATTTCAAATATTACGCCTAGAGATCACCTTTCTTAGTTTTCTTCTATTACCTCCAGATACAGTGCACGCTTAAAATCCACTGATTTAACTTACACCTCCATCTCCACATTCAGATCTGTCAGTGTAGGAAGTCTGTTCTGTCTCATTTTAGTTACCTTGTAACGAGGCTTTCCAAGGTCAGCTGTCTTAGGCTTCCTCATAAAGTCGATCAGTCTTTCCCAACTCCAGTTCTTTCTCTAACCCTTCTGTAGTTTGCCAAAAGCTTTGTGGACCCTAAGAGATTCAGAAGTAATCTTACTATAGCAAATAGAAAAGAAAGACTGTGTGCTGGTTCTGTGATTTGTTGCTTTACATTAGATGGCCCAGACTTCACTGCTGTCCCATATTTATCTACCCAATTCTAGGCACCGGTAAGAGAAGGCGGGAGGGTGAGTAATGCTGTGCTTTGACTGCTGGTTCTGCCACTGCTGGTTCTGACTGAACAGCCACTGGACGTCTTTTAAATCAAACATGTTGTTCTGCTCTTTTTTTCTTTTTAACTCTGTTGTACTGATATCTCCTTCGAGTGCATGGAGATCTATGAGTGTAAGGAGTTAAAAAAGAAAAAAAAATATTGAGGACACAACTGAGGTCTGGCTAATAATAATGTGAGCTAACATAGGTTTATGGGCAGCCAGCTCCTGTCTGCTGCAAGTGAGATCAATTAGCTGAAGCAATGAGGGGCAGAGTAGTAAAAAATCAACACACACCTCAAGTGGCCACGGCTTAGTACCTTCTGTGCTCCCCAGCACCTGCCCTGCACCCCTCTCCTTTTTCTCCCATAGACACCTTCTCTAAAAATAATCCTCACAGATTTTCTGGTCAGTGAAAACCATCTGGGTCTCTGGCTCTGTGCTGTAGCGTAGCAATAGGCTGCTTTAATGTGTTGGGTTTTTTTTTTCTTTTCTTTTTTTTAGTGCCTTTGGTCAAGCCTTTTTCATGATGAGACTCAATTAGGCTGGCACTGACAGATACTTGTTTAGCTTAATATCTGATAACACCGTTATGTTTAAGTGCAGGCTATGACCAATTCCTTACCTGGATTCAGTGCTTAGAAATAATGATAACTATTCACTTTTTCCTTACTAATTGGAGATGTGACATGTGAGTTACTAACAGACGTGTACCCACTGGAAGGACTCCCGTGAACGCTGTGAGGCTGGGAAACGAGCAAGTGTCCTCTGCTAATACAAATCACCTCTTTGAACTAGGGAAATTACTGAGTTTGTATCTAGTGATCCGTCTTCAGTTAGATTCAGCATTGTGCTCTTTTAAGTGCCTCTGTGTTTTAAGACAGATAAGCATTTCTTGACCTCCTAAAATTTCTAGAAAAGGTCATTTTTGCCAGCATTTCCTAGGCTGTATGTAAAGAAATAAATTAGGCCTAACCAGGTAATTTATATAGTACTACAGAAAGCCTAATCTTCGTAATCCTTTTGAGTCTTTAGTGGTTTAATTTGCTGAGTGTGAACAATGCCCTTTATTCCTTGGAATATATTGAGCACCAAGACAATATTTTGTATCTAAATAATAAATGTACCCATTTGTTCTGTGACAGTCTATAGAAATGCAGTTAGAAGGCTTAATCTTGCCGAAGGCTGAGCACCCTCTGCTTTTCAGTAAAGTCTTCCAGAGCCAAAAGCCTGAAAGAGCACTTGAATGTAAACTACAGAGGTATTCCCAATTGTCCTGGCTACTGTATGAATAAAATTATTGTGGTATATGGGATTAACTATTAATTTAGAGAACAGAATGAAGGTGAGACTTATTTCTTCGCTGTGAATTTGTTTTATTTTATTGAGATTTCTGTTTGTTTGCTTATTTGCATTTAAAACAAATGCCTCAAGTACTAATATGCATTAAAATTCAAAATTAAAAGAGCTTTAAATTCATTTTTTTACCTTTTAAAGTTTATTTTAATTAAGAACAAAAAGCAGAGAAATCCTGTTTTCCCAGAGCTTCATTTTGAAGTAATCAGAGGATTAAAAATAAACCGTTATCCGAATGTTACTGAACACGAAACTACTTGAATATTCAGTGCGATTCTTGCTGCAGTTGCAAATTTTGCTAGCTAAATGATGATATTTTATATGTGCATGGCTTTACAGTGAATGCAGAGTTGTACAGCCCTAGAACTATAAATGCATTTGTACCAAGATCGGGAAATTAAAAACAATGTTTTCCACACACCATACTGTTGTATACACATGACTTTTTTTCATCTGTGTAATTTTTTTATTGTTATGCAAACAAAAAAACAGTAGAGTGATTGCTGTAAGTCACAGTACAGTTATGAATGGTATAATTTCTAATGCTTCCAGTTTTCTGAATTCTGTGTATACAATTATCAAAATACATTCTTATCATTCTTATAACTTCCTGAGGTTGATTTTTAAGAGAGAAAAGAAAATCTAGAAGTACCAATGTGTTTGTTTTGAAACGTGCCCCTCCCTTTGAAAGTTCATAGCATCAAGAAAAGTTCCCCGTAACTATTAGGTATTTTATGTTTTGGCTATGTACATATGCTTTTGTTGTTAACTTACTGTTTCAGTTTCTGTAGCCACATTTAATGTTTCAGAAGTAATCAAAGAAAATCTAATCCTTGAGGCTACACAAAATGTTTTAATTTGAAAAACTCTCAATATAATGAAATTGTGCAATTTCATGTTTTAAGTTCCTTTTATGAAACAAAACCAAAAAAGCCCGAAAATTAAACCCAGGGTTGTTACGTTACCATCACCCAAACAACCTTTGCTGCGCCCTATATTTTCAAAACTGTACCTGCCTGGTTGTTAATGATCCTAACGCTGATTAGCATTTGGCTTAACCGAAGGGAAAGGTGGGCTTGGGGTTAAGGTATTAGCCCACAGAATTGGCAGTTCGATTCTCTTTTGAGTTTTTACAGTTCATGTTTCCGAGACTACTTTTTCCTGACACCTAATGGCTAGAAAAAATTCTTTAGCGAAAGAAAGCTTGTGTAAATGATTACAAGAACTAAAACTCATCAAATACAATGAGGGCCTTGACAACACCTCTGCTTTCGGCAGCACTGTAGACCTTGCCCTCTTCTGGCTCCGTGGCTCTTCGGTGCCTGGGGTTTCCTCGCTCTGCGCAGTGGTACTTCAGAGGTGCTGAGCTGGGGAGGAGGGGGAGTTACCCAGTGGCGCCTTTCTCTTACACTTCACATCCGCACAAAGTTAAACTATCGTCTCCTGGGTCCAGAGTACTCTGTGAGTGTTGGTATATAGCATACTTTAATAATGTACAACTCTGTGTGTGTATATATATTTTTGTGTGTATTAATATCTATTTTTAACTTTCATATTTAAACATATACAGAAAGAATAGCTTTGTATTTTAAATAGGTTCTGATGAAAAAAAATTACTTGCCTAGCTGATCCATAAAACTCTAAGTAAAAAGACTTAGCTTTCCCTGTGATGAGGAGTAGTTAGTCATTTCTTGGTGCAAAGAATAACAAAATTACTAACTTTCCCATGATCTTGGCTCATTTTTGTTTGATGCCAGGTGGTTGCTAGAGTTTGACAAATGATTGATTTGGTTTCAAAGGGTGCTTGAATCGCACAAAGCGTTTTTTGTATTAGAAAAGACATGGTCATTTTTTTCCACAAGTTTTAAGATTTACCACCTTGCACAAGTGTTGTAAATTAGTTTGTTTGCTATTTATTTTCTCTGGATTGCTGTAATTGGTGTCATTAGTTGAAGGGCAATTTTTACAGATGGTTGGAGGGATGGCCTTTTAAGCATACACCCGTCATACTTATTTATTTTTTAAACACTGCTACAGGACTGCAAGTCAGATGGGTAGACTGCTACTTCCCATTTACTCACCCTTCCTTTGAGATGGAGATCCACTTCCAAGGAGAATGGATGGAGGTCCTGGGCTGCGGGGTCATGGAGCAACAGCTAGTTAACTCAGGTACTGAAACTCCTTTGCTTCATTGACATCTCTATTAGCAAACACTTCTAGCGCAATCAGCTTCACAGTCTGAAATGCTCCCTTCTCCCCTGGTGAGTGGAGACATCTCTGTTCGTGGCAGCCGCCACAAATAGTCCTCAGGTGGAATGCAGCCTTGCATGCTGTGATTTGAGTGTAGCAATTGAGTGAGCGATCTGGAGCTTGCAAATGGAAAGCTTGCCTTTTATTTCGTGCAGTAAGGAGACAGGCCGATGTCAGCTCTAAAAAAGAAGCTGACGAATTAGGGTGTGCATTTTTTTTTTCTCTTCCAATAGATGTCAAGTGCATTCATAGTTAGGATTTAACAGTATGGTAAGTAAATAGCATCCCCTAATATTTGGAATATCAGAGTGCTCCTGTATTTCTAAAGTATAGAAAGAGGAATGTGATACCTTTCATATTGTTATTTGGTTGCTGGGTAAATGGTAGGTTGCTTTTTGGTTTTGTTTTGTTTCTTTTCTCCTCAGGTCGGTTATTTATAAGGTTGTAAACTGCATTGAGAGTGACATCCTTTATTTTAATTGAATTTATTACAGAGCAATGTCACCTGAGAGTTTTGCTTTCTAAAACTGACACATAAGTACAAAAGAAGGAGACGAGAAATTGTTTTTTTTTCCTGATTATTTTTATATAAAGAACTTTACATGCTTGTTTTTTCATTAGCTGAGAATAGGCAATTCTTTGTAGGCACAGGGCAGACTGCATGTGCTCAGACCTCTGTCGTTCAGTGTCTTCCAGTACTATTTATTAGGTATGGGAGCCTTTTGGAATATGGTCCGTTTAATTCTCACAAGTGTGCGTTCAGATAGCCAAGTTATACTCAGTTGATTTTTTTTTTTTTTGCAGTTGGTTTCCTAAGCTATTGTTGTATTTTCACGTGCTTGAAATTCTTTCTGTTGAAGTCCAAGTATCATAACTATGAATGGCTCAGGTTTGGCCCCAGTTACTTGGCACTCCTTGTTTTCCTCAAAGTTTGCACGTATTTTAGTGTGATCATTTTCTTTTTAAAAAGATAAATCCTCTTCCAGAGTTTCTTCCCAATGGGTTAATGGTTTATGCTAACATTCTTTCTCATGTTACTATGTTCATGGTGTGGTAAATATAATACAGCTTCTGATCAGCCTCCAAAGTGAAAGACTACTGTGTAATATTATTTCCATCAGATGTAACACTAATGGCCAGCCTTTCTTCTTGAAAAGCTTTTATGTTGCTCAATTCTTATGTTTAGGTTCCTTCAATGTGTGTGAAGAGCTAAACTGTGGCCTCAAAACAATTACTGTATGCGTGTGTGTGTGTGTGTGAATGAATGTGCATGAAACACCAATGGTTTCTGCAGCAGTCAAAGTTTTCAATTGACTCTGCCTCAGCTCTTTTTCATCTTCCTGAATTATGGTCTTCAAAATTGCATCCCTTCTGCACCAAAACTCTCCTAACTATTCATTGTAATTCTAATCTTGCAAGAACTCGTGAATTTAGTAACTCAAGTCTAGCTTTTGAATGACTTGTAGACTTGTATTATTAAAACAAACGAATGAATGAACGAGAGATTCACTTTATTAACAAGATATTTGTAGAGGGTGCAATCTCAGTTATGGAAGTGCCAATCACTTTTCACTTCATTTAGAGAGAATTGCACTTTATGTAGCCACAGTTTTGGTTTTCTGCTCCCTCCAGTAGCTCTGCAAAAACACTTGGCTACAAACGCTGAGTCTAATGTATGTCAGTGTGATTTTTATTGAAGCATTGGAGTCTGTTTACCACAAGCAAGGAAAAAGTTTGGCTAATAATTATGTTGGCTAACGATTAGCTTATTTGGTTTAAAGTAACAATGAAGACAAGGTAGTTCACATTTTCAGTCAGGTAAAGAGTTAAACACCAGTCTTCCCTGCCTACCCATACATTTTTTTTTTTTGTGTGTGTGTGTTATGGCAGCAAGCTGGTTTTGCCCAAAATTGAATATCTGCAAGTCCAGAAAGGAGATTCTCAGTGGAGAAGGATGAAGGTGAAAATTTTCTTTCCTAGCTCCTTCATCTTTTTTTTTTTTTTTTCTGCTAGCAGAACTCAAGTGCCTTCCAAAGCCATGCCACATTTGAACAGCAGTAGTTTTTTAATAGTTTCCTTTTTTTACCTGTAGAATATCCTTAATGCCTCCAGTATCCATGATCAATGGATATTACTTATTACTCTGGTCCCATGCCCCTAAATTTCTTTGAAACACCAAAGTTTCAGTTTGAAAGCCTTCCATTTTAAACCAGTGCAGATCAGTAAGGAATAGGATCTTCATCAAACTTGGGATGAAAGCCTGTGACTTCTCAATAGCTCTGTCCTTGTGCCTTTTGTTCCGAACACTGCCTGTTCATCTTTATAGGAGGCAGTGTTATTTTCAGTCAGTGGAGATTTCCAGGCAAAAGAAACTGAGCTGAACTACTCAGAAAAACACTAGGCTGTAGTTTTTGGTTTTGGGTTGGTTTGGTTTTTTGGTTTTTGGGTTTTTTTTTAAATCCCCACCATTTGTTCACTGATAATGAAATTCCTTAACTATAGATAAGTATCCTATTGCCCAACATGAAAGCATCTAACCTCAGAGCACTGACTCACACCACAGACCTACGCCCTCTGAGGGAGTAAGCACTGGTGCCTAAACCTAGATGCTATGTCTCTCTTCTTTGTCAGATGTCTACAATAGGCACTGCAAAATTCCCATTCCTGTCTCCGTCTCTTCAAGGGCTCTACCAGAAAACAACTCAGTAAGAGTGAATGAAAAAGAGACATTTTACTCTTTTTTTTTTGGCTGGCTAAGTTGGTGCTGAGAAATATTTCACTCTTGGTGTGCCAGTTCACCAGGCAAATGTGGAAAGATCTTTTCATGGTGTACTGCACAGCTTGCTGATTAAAAACTGGAGAAGAAACCAATGAGTTTGTGGAAATTGTGTTTTTTTGATATATATAGTCTATAACATTTCTAATATCTTGCAGTTTAGGATTTTTGTTTTATGGGTATCTTTGCTTGATATTGACTATTAAAATACGTATTTTTGAAATGTAATGTTAGCTGGCAAGCATTGCTTTTCCTTCCGTTAGACAATATTTTCCTAAGGGAAAGCAAAAGAGCTTTTACCTTCAAAATCCTCAAGTCCTTTTGTTTTGTGTGTTATTGGTTGAACATGAAAGTCTGGTTTGTGAGGCAATTGGAAACAGTGACTCAAAGCAGAAGTTGGATGTGCCTGGTTATCTATGGTGGTTATAAACTAAACAATCAGGATGCTTCAGCACAGATTTTTTTTTTTTTCTTTTCATTTTGTTGAAAAAAAATCTATTCATGTATGATTATATATATGAAACACAACAAAAATGGCGAAGAACTGAAGAAGCCTTGTGGAGGGATGAAAAGACAAGGTCCATGCCACAAAGGGGCCAGGACATTACCCCTAAGTAGCTGTTTCTTTATGTTGGCAGAAGTTTCTATTGGACGGGCAGGTTGTATGATGATGACTCCCTGCCCAAAATAACCTCACTATAGTTCCTTGGAGGTTAACCTCCTCATGCAGCAAATTTTGATGGTATTGACAGATCATATTAAGATTTTTTTAGTCTTGAGTGAAGAATTCTATTGTAGCTTTAATGCCTCATGCAATCAGCGTTTAATTTGTTAAGTTGTTATTTTTCTGAAAGACAATATCCTATTGAATTTTTCTGATGCCTTCTTATGTTCTGGAAGGAGCCTTCCTTTGATTTCAACCACTTTTAAATAGAACGTGATACAGATACTTAGTACGTGTAAATAGAAATGCATTGGTTATAGGGAAAAATTGTCAAATATGTTCAAATGTATTGATAGTACTTTTCATTATCTGCTTTCTTACTCTGCTCTTTTTTTCCTTTTGAGGTGTGTGAAGCGTCTCTCTGGCCTTCTCTTTTTTCTTTTTTTTTTCCCTGCATTCTTCTTAAACCAGATTTCTAGTTTCTGACATAGATCTCCACAACACAGGTGTGATAAAGAACCTGGATATGAGAGGCAACAGAACAAAACAGCACTTCTTGTTGCAATTCATTGCTTTATCGTGTGTGGACTTCCATAGTGCTTTATCTCACCCTTGAGATTTCACATTCTTAAAACGTTAAACCAGATCAGGATTTGCCCAGGGAGGGACAGCCAGGCTCATTCTCAGTCATTCATTGGGTAGCGGGGATGATCCGGTCTTCTGAACCATTCAGATTTTCTGTGTTAACAGCAAGCAAGGTTTCCGTTGCTTGGTGTGTGGATAAGCAAATAAGATTTGATAAAGACTGTACATACCATTTCCATTAAAGCCAATCCAGCTTTTGAGTATTTTTTAAGAGTTGTTTGCATTCAGGAAAGTCTCCTACTACTAACAAAATGGAGAATGTTTTTCTAACAGTGGTAGGTGCTATTTTTAAAAGAAAAACATATACCCTATGACAGTGGTTTTATATAATTGCTGAAAAAATATGCACTACTGCAAAGATGCACTGAATTGTAAGGAAAGATGTTATATATTCCCCTAAGGCTGATGGTGCTAAACTAGAGCAATTATTCGGTATTATGTGAACATAGAAGATCACTGTTATAATCAATGTTCAATAAGAAGTATAGAATCTAACTTACTGTACTGTTTAACTTTCCATTTTTTTGTGCTTTATTTTTCATCTTAAACTGTACCTGAATATATAACTTTAATAGGAATGTTATGTATGAATTTTGATATAAAGTTAAGTTATTCTGGTTAACACTGGGAAAAAATGTGGAAACTTTACAGTATAGTAGCAAGTACTCTCAGTTTTAGGTCCATGATGAGAATACAAGGAAATTTTATGGTTCAGTAGAACTAGTATCAGTTAACAGCATGTAAGGTATTTATTTCTGTGCTTCAAGAGTTTGTTATCCAAGATTTGCAAAGCTGGAGTTCATTGGTAGGTGCCGAAGTTCCCAGATCTGTATG